TACACACAGGGAAGGTTCCGTGAGGTTCTTTCAGTGGCCACTCCTGGGTGACTGTTCCCTCCACGCCTTATGCAATCCTTAGGCAGGTGATGCTGTAGGCATTGCTCACATCTCTTCCTGCTCCTACTGAACAGACGTTTTTGTGATGATGTCATGGTTTGGCCCCAGCCAGACCCAAGCCCCTGGCAGCTGCTTACTCACTCCCCCACCAGTGGGATTGTGGAGAGAATCAGAAGGGTAAAGGCTGGAAAATCCATGGGTTGAGATAAAGATATCTTAATAGGAGAAGCAAAGGCTGCACACACAAGAAAAGCAAAACAAGGAGTTAATTCCCTGCTTCCCATGGGCAGGCAGGTGTTCACCACCTCCAGGAAAGCAGGGACCGGTCCCGTGGAATGGTGACTTGGGAAGACAAACACCATCACCCCAAATATCCCTGCCCTTCCTCCTTCTTCCTCCCCCTTTACATTCTGAGCATGATGTCACGGGGCCTGGAGCATCCTTTGGGTCAGTCAGGGTCACCTGTCCTGGCTGTGTCTCCTCCCAAACTCCCAGGCACCCCAGCCCCTCCCCAGCGTGGCCTTTGAGGGGCAGGAAAGGCCTTGGCCCTGTGCAATCCCTGCTCAGCAATAACAACAACACCTCTGTGTTATAAGCCCTGTGTGCAGCACAGATCCAAACCACACCCATTCTAGCTCCTGGAAAGGAAACTAAAAATTAAAATTAAAAATTTGCCTGTTTTCTGAATAAAATTGCTCTTAAAAATAGCCACAAATTCAATACCACATGAGTATGGAATGGAGACAGAAATGTGCAGGTTGCTAAAGCCCACTAGGGAAAATATTTACAGCTATGCCATATTAAGCTATGCAAGGTATCCCATACCATCTTGTCTAGCAGAATTACCATTGCACAATTTGTGCTGGAGGTCTACAAAACCAGCAGTTTTGAACTTTCAGGAAAGCAGAGCAGAACTGACTTATTCACTGCTTCTCTTCCCCTCACATGATCTTTGCTTTGAGGCACTGAAAATATTGATGCATCCCCAGTGTTTTTCCCTTGAAGAAATCAACTTGCTGTGCATTTTCATTACTCATCTCTTCGTGTTCCTGCCCTCATTTCTTGTACAATGTACATGATACAAAGGGATCACATGATTTTTTAATTCTGTTGAAGCTAGTGATACAGCAAGCTCATCCTGTCTGGATGTCTCTACCTGGCCTGTTGGGAAGGGTGGTGTTAAGTTTAAAGATAATATGTGGTGTCTATGTGTAGTCATGATCCAAGTCTGCTGAATGTGAAATGATCTAGGATATAATTTTAGGAATGCTGTAAATTTGTGAAAGATTCTCTCGTAAGGACCCGTCTCAGAGCTGGCACAGCGAGTGATTTGCATTGCTCCTGAATGTAACACCGAGTGTCTCCTACAACCTGGGGCACTCAGCAGCTGGTTTTGTCAAGTACCAGCTGAGAAAATTTCAGAGCAAAATACAAACCCTTGCATCCCGATCACATTGATCAGGATCACATCAAAGAAATCATGATCGGCATCAATCTTGCCTCCTAGAAAGACCACGTATCTTTTGATCAGGTAATGGGAGGCAAGAGATTTATCTTCAGACTGCCTCCTGAGGTGGATCACAATCCTTGCAACTGTTTTGACAGTTGGAAATTAAAGCAAAAGGAGACTGAGTTATTTAAGGTTACACAGAAATCAGAAAGAGAGCAGAAAAGAAATCATATTACTTAACCTCCTGGCTATAAGGCCAGAGCACTCATTCCTGGTTACAGGTACAAGAAACAGAAAAAAGATGGCAAGTGCTGACTAACAGCTTGATCCTCAGCCTCATAGGCAGCAGGAGAATCAAATGCTGTGTTAGAATCCTGTGCTCAAACCTCCCACAGTTGTAGCTCACATTTGGTGTGAGTCAGTGAGAAACATTCCTGAAAGTTCATGTGTCCTCACTGAACAAATGCCAGTGGCCAGCAGGCAGCAGCATTTTGTAAACACCAAGCTGGTGCATTAATATAACATCACATGCTGTTATTTGGGTAACACCACATAAGTGTAGTGTAATACCTACAGGAACCTTCATGAAATGTCATGTCTAAAGATTAATTTCAGTTAGCTTTTATCTTCCTGTGCAGTCCATCTTTCTGTGAACATGCCCCTTCAGCCCTGATGCAAGTTTCTATTGCTGTGTTTTAATACAAGGTAAAGCAAAATATTGCCAGGTTTAACTTTGTTCATCAGATGCATTTCAAAAGCTGAAACTCCATTTTGGTATGAGCATCAGTGTGCACACACCTCAAGACAGGGACATTCTTTACAGTATCTTCAGCTTTAGGCACATCTGGCAGCAGCAGCAGCAAGGAGACACCTCCTGACTCTTCAGGAGTACGAAGGTGTAGGAGCACTCTGTGCAGTGACAGACCACAGAAATACAGACATAGCAAAGCTGCAGAGGAACAGACAGACTTTTTGCCAGGGTTAAGTTCTGCTTCTTCTTCTAAGATCTACTCCTTAGTTTTCTCTTAGCCAAGTTTTATACAGAGATGGGTCTACTGAGGTTTGTTCCAGTTTACATCCCTGTGAGAGAATCTGAAGTTTTTTCACCTCCATCACTTTGCAAGCTACATATTCTGATTCACTCCATGAGTTCTGTCTAGTTTGAGGGTAAGTGAAACACTCCAGGATGGTTCATCTGCTACAGCACATTTGATTTTTATTTAGCTTTAACACTGGATCACCCTCAGGTCATTTGCATAAGCTCTTGGGTATCTGAATGAGAGTCTGACAGCCTCACCCTCTTTGTGAATGATGAATCTACTGACTGCAGTCTGTTTTAACAGGGAATTCCTAAACAGTTTCCATGCATTTTGTGGTTCAGTTGCCTTGAAATACCCAGCAGATCTGATGTGACTCAGGTATGTCAGATCTGAGTAAGCACCGGGCCAGTGATCTGCACACAGGCATTAAACCCTGATGTTTAATATCCACATGCATGCATCAGCTCTGTGCACTGCAGATCCCACATCCTCACTTACTGCATCTGCAACACAGAGACAGTCATCCCAAGTGCAGTTAGTCCAGGGGACTTGTTTTCTCAGCCACATTCCAGCTGCTCTTTCATTTAAAACATTATATTGTTGGGTTTTGAGGGTGGGGTTTTTTTGTGTTGCTGTTGCTACTGCTGTTCTTTTTTTTTTTTTTCCTAGCACATCCCTGCAAAGCATTTCCAGTCAATTAAATAATATTTTTGCGGTTAGATTTTGACATTCTTTTCCTACCTGCCCTAACCATAGCTTTAATATCTGCAGTTTATTTTTAGTATGAACAGACATAAGTAACCTACAGTAAAAGCATTGATTTACACATGCTGGTGGGTAGGTCTACAAAGCCTGAAAGCAGTTACTGCTCAGCCATTTGACCTGCTACTTTTCCTGAGGTTGCTTCTGTAGAAGAGAGAGTTTGACAGGACACACAAACTCCACAATTTAGAAAACTCAATTGAAATTAGCTGCTGTAATTTACTCCCTAGTACTTAGACATGTATTTTCCAAGCAGCTGTACCTTCTTCCCTTACTTTGCTTCTTCCTTATATGTTTGTTTTATTTCTTTCAAATGTATGAATCTGCTACAGATGGTTTGAAGCTTTTAAAGAATTTCTGTTGTGTTTTAGTGCCATCACAGAAAGATACATAATTTAAAAATAGAGCAGCTGTTATAAGACAAGAATGAGTAAACTAAATCAAAGTTCTTCATTGATGCTTCCAGAACTAAGGGAAGTCTTAATTCTGTTGGAATACTGCTGGCTTTTCATTCATGCCAGACCAGGCAGCCACACTGGCCTTTCTTTTGGTAGCACAAATGTATTTTAAGGGAGTTAGGTGTGTTGGGTACTGCTGAGAGCTGAGGCCTGAGCCCCACCTGAAAGATGCCCCAGGCTGTAATGAAAGCTGTTACCCCCGTGGATACAGAGACGTGGCATCCAAGAGATTGGGAACAGGGAGCCAGGATGAAGAGTTTCCTGTGTGGAAAGCAGGTGCCGGCTTCAACGGGAGTAGTGTGAGGAGCAAATAATCTGTGTTGTTGAAAAAGCAGGTGGGCTCCCGTTTGTCACTGTCTTACCTGCCCCCACCATGGATCATGACTAATCTTGGTGCAAGGGCGGCTATGAGCCCCCGGTTCACTTGGAGGCTGCGGCTCATCCCTCTCCCCTGCACTCCCCAGCATCCCGCCTGCCCTCCGAGGCCTTGGCACAGCTACAGCGCCCGCACCGCCGCGGGC